ATTTAATGTTCTTCACGGTACGTAATGTCTTCAAATAACACTAGTCAGTAAAAACATCCTATTGTTGACCTTTGCTGAGATACTAGACTCAACATTCATTTCTGATAATGTCGAGGCACACTGAACTGAAGCAGACAGTGTGTGACGGCGATAAAAGAGGATAAGAGAAGATTATGTTGGCGGTGAGCGCACAGACGGAGGAGAGACAGCAGTCTTGAGCTCACATCCTTCATCCGGCTGTTTAATGGGCTCTTAGGTGCGACAGAAGAGTTCAGAAGATCCCATGACACACGGTGATATCACACGTTTGAGCCCTGATGCATGAGGTCAGAGATCTTCACACACCTGTTGCATGTTAACACAGCTGCTGACCTCTAGACTTCAGTCGAAAACAAATCAGGGGAAAAAACGTTATACCTGTAGGTGATGCTATATAGATGTAAGGGATAATCCACAGCTAGCTGTGCATAAAACGATTTTATTGCACGACGTTAAAAAGTTATTTTATTAATAGAAGTCGTGGAGCAGCGATGACAAGGTTCTGTGCTCCTGGATGTTTCTCTGTGTGTGTGCGTTTGTTTGTGTGCATCAATTAAAGCAGCCAATCAGAATCGAGTATTCAGACAGACCACATACATATACATATACATATATATATATATATATATATATATTCCAGTTTAATGTGCAGATATTCCAGTTTAATACACACAGACAGCTTATTCTCTGCATACTAAAATAGTCATTGTTTTTGCCATTCTGTTTGGTGACACTAAAATATTATACATTTCAGATTAAGAGGAGTTAAATTTTTTTTTTATTATAAAAACTATTAAACTTTCTAAATAAATAACAGCCAACATCAAAAAAAAAGAAAAAACTCTTGGTTTACATATTTTGATAGGCCGTTTTTTCTGTTTTGCATATTATGGCTAGGAAAAATTGCCAAAAATATATTTATTTGTAAATGAACAACATTTTGCCAAAAAGGTCTACCAGTTTTGAATCAAATCAAACATTACACATATATAATAGTTCAGTGAAATGACATGTAAACGAACCAAATGCTTGTGGTCTGAGCATCTGCATCACCAGAAACGGTGAAGCCAACTTGACACACTCAAGTTAAAAAGAACAAGTGCTCGTTATGTTTGACAACAAGTGTGCAGCTATTTCCTTTCACAAAACCCCACAAACATTCCCATCTGAATGCAGTTCATCGAGAGAGATTTTACGACCAGACGCCTCGTCCACACCCAGATATATTCATCTGTGACAGTGAAGGATTGCTCAGACAGCTATGCCAGGCATCTGCTGATGATCGCAGAACACACCTCTTGCTTTAGTATGAGAAAATGCAAATTTGACAACGCTAATTATAAACTTTTCTATTACAGCTCTATTACTAACCGATCAAACATTTGCAGCTTAAAAGCAATGTATAAATCAGCAGAGCACTGCAGTTATGACATATTTTTGTAAACCAACCTGGAAGTTACCTAATAGGATTTTCCATTGGCTTTTACACATTGATAATCTGCTGAAGAAGCTTAAACCAAAATCGGGGTTCTTTTATCGTTTAAAAAACTGCTTTCCTTATGAGGCAAGAAGGAACTAGTGGAGAGTACTTTTTTTATCTGTAATTGATTATGGTGACCTAGTATATATGCATGCATCTTCTTCATCTATATTAAGGAAACTGGACTCTGTCTATCATGCAGCGTTACGCTTTGTTTGTGGTGCAGATTCACGTACCCATCATTGTATACTTTACGAATCATTGGCATGGTCTTCTTTACATCATAGGAGGAAATTGCACATGTATATGTTTACTGTTAAGGCACTTTTAGGTAAGTTGCCTTATATTTCAAATCTCCTAATTCTTTACATAAATAGTTACTGTACTAGATCTCAATCGTTCATTCGGTTAAAAGTTTCGGAATTTGGAAAATGTGCTTTTTCCTTTTATGCCCTTATCTAATTAAATTAGAATCATTGCCATCTCTGGGTACTTTTAAATGGCTTTTGCAAACTGTTTTAAAGGAGTCTTGTACATGTTTCGCTTGATCTTACTTTTATCAATTGTTTTGTACGAGTATTTTGTTTTGTAGTTGGTTTTGTGCGCAACTTTATGTGCTGCCGTCTTGACGAGGTCTCCCTGGAAGAAGAGACTGTGAAGTCTCAATGGGATTCTCCTTGCAAAAAAATAAATAAATAATAAAAATAATAATAATAATAATAATAATAATTATGGACCAACGGCGCTGGGTAGATTACTTACAAATTGTAGTCCATTTCCGATTTCAGTACGATTAGTAATGTAGTCTATTGCACATTTTAGGTAATATAATCAGACTACTTTTTGATTACTTTTAGATTACTTTTGACCTACCTCGTTTATCACATTAATTTAGGTCAGAATAATCTTGTACCGTATTGATATAAAAATACAAATAAAAAGAAGATACATTTCATTCGTTGTTATTAACAACATTACACATTATATTATGTCAAGATTTCCCAAACTGGGGTTTACGAAGGACCTGCAGGGGGTTTGTGAGTTTAATGAAAAAATGAATAATCAATTAAATCATAAAAAATTTTAATTTAAATAAACACTTTTAAAAGAACAATCAAAATAAAACACTTACTAAAAAAAAAGATGAAATATTTTACTTGTTTACCTGCATGTCATGTGACCATTAACCAATGTCAGAGAACCATGGACATGCAAATGTGTTAATTAATTATTAATTGATTACCTTAAAATCAACCTTAAAGTAAATATATTAGGTGAAAGAGGTTCGGCTGACAAAAAGTTGGGAATCCCTACGAAATAAATGTGAATTTGTGCATTTTAATGTGTTTGAAAGACAAAAGCCTTCCAAAGACAAAGTAATACATGGTTAACCTACTGAGTGAAAATTCTAATTAATGTGTTTGTTAGCAGTTGATGGAATGTTGAAATGTTGAGAAAACACTTCTTAAAACTGCAATGATTTCAGTAAATCCAGTGGTCAAATGCTGTGTGGTGTCTCAATTTTCTGTGTAATTAAGTCATCTGACTAGTGATGGGTCTTCGTGTGACTGTCCACAAAACTGGAAGACTTTATGAATGTATATGCACGTGTATACATAATAAATATACACAGCACACACACATATATTATGTAAACAAAAACGTTTATTTTTTGTTTATTTATCGTGATTAATCGTTTGACAGCACTAAATATAATCTAATTCCAAGTACCTTTTTTTTTTTTTGCAATTAATCCAGATTACATGTAATTAGTTACTACCCAGCACTGCATCCCAATGTTTAGTATTTAAGGTTTGTTGAAAAAGTCTTCATCAGACACACATCAGAAATCAGGTAAATATGGTTACATTCATGCACCGTTCAGTTATTAATAAGAGTAACAACAGAATTTTATAAGCCAACCGACAGCATTACAATTTCAAGACTCCAAGCACATTTTCAGTAAATCTGGTCTGTTAATCTTTAATTCTCTTTAGAAACAGATTACGCAGGTTGCTTTGTCACTGCAAATAGCTGTGCGAACACCTCTTAGAGAGAAAGTGGGGAAATTATCATGAAAAGTGTAATTGTGCATGCACTTCAGTGAAGCGATAAACACTATGCATGCACAACCCTCTACGCACACCTTGGCAATATAATCGCTATTGGCTAGTAAATTGTTTTGTTTACTCGCCAGACTGATATACTATTTTACACACACAAACACACACACACACACACACACTCAGTCAGCGTGTTTATCGAGTGAAAATCTGTGTTGAACGCCTCTCACACACATACTGGCGTGTAAAATCTAAGAATTTATTAGCCAATGGCTAATGTTAGACATTATTTAGTCACCCAGAGTAAGATTTAATTGCATATGCGAGTGATTTACTCGCAATGTAGAGGGTTGATGCATGATATGGTTAATGTAAAGCTTTATATTTGATGCTAGAAGGAAGTTTGTGTGCTCTTATTTGGAAAGCTGTCAAACCTGCAAATTATCTGTCAGGTCGAGGAAAGGTTAAAACACATTCTCTGGCAAAAAGACCCAAATTCAGAAACTCCCCTGGCTATTTTTTATTTTTTTTCTGAAGAAAGACAAACTTAAATGGAGATGAAAGCCAAAATATTAAACTTGGTAACACTTTATTTTAGGGTCTCTTAACTAGTTGCTTATTAGCATGCATATTACTAGAATATTAGCCATTTATTAGTACTAATTAAGCACATATTAATGCCTTTTTCTACATTCCTAATTCTACCCAATACCTAAACTTAACAACTACCTTACTAACTATTAATAAGCAGCAAATTAGGACTTTATTGAGGGAAAAGTCGTAGTTAATAGTGAATAAGTGTTGCCTATTCTAAAGTGTTACCTTAATTTTTTTAAATCATGGATGTATGTCTACTAAGTAATGCACTATTTTGTAGAGGGGTGTCAAAATGACAATTTTCACAGGAGGGTAAAAATGATTTCAGAAAGACGGCAGCATCATTATGTTATTTTAACACAAATATTGATAGGTCTATTAGTAAAATCTGTTGACTTTAGCCACCTTTGTTGCATTATATGTTAATGGTGACAGTTCAAGAAATGAGGAAAAAGCACTTTAAGATTGTTTTTTCCCAAGTTTGCATGTCTGTAACTCAAGACATTTTAAATATATCTTAATATAATTTTAGATTTTAATCATAAACCTATAAATCTCTGTGTAAAAATGATGATGCTGCCATCTTTCTAAAGTCAGATGAATAACTCAATAAATATTCATCCATGACATTGAATATTTCGGCTTTCTTCTTCATTTATGTATTTCTTTCACTGATTGAGTTAACACTGAATGACCCGATGAGGGTGTGTGTGTATGACGTCTCCAAAGATGATTAATTTAGACTCGCTGAGCAATTCAGAAACTATGTCACACCTTGTAGTGTTCACGAAAGCTCAGTTTGCTCCGTTTAACCATCTTACCGACAGATTGTTGTCGTAGAAGAAGGCATCGAGCAGTTTGACGATGTACTGATGGTTGCAGGACGCTAAGATGTCGATCTCCACCATGTAGTCCTCCAGCTCCTCTTCACTTTTGGTTTCGATGACTTTGGCTGCAGCTAGTGCACCGGTTTCTTTATTCTGGGCCTGAAACACAAAGCAGCTTCGCATCAAAACAAAGTCAGTGTGATTCACATGATTACATCCCGCTGATATTCCCGTTTCATGCTCGTCGCTTCGGTGCGGTTATTTCACCAGGCCTCTGCGATTCAGCTTTAGTTCTCCGTTAGAGCTCAAATAATGAGCATTACTGCTGTTTTACTGCACACTGATAAAGGTTTGATGGGTGTTTGAATGGAAAGGATTGGGGAAAAAATAGGAAAGTCATTTAATATTTTGATGCATTTTTTTTTTAATAACATGCATCAATAAATCAATGCAAGTAAGAGTGTTAATGATACAGGTAATAAAAAAATTATACTTTAAAATAATGTGTCAAGTTCTTATGGTTGTACTTTTCTAAGATTCCATGTTTTATATGTATTTTATCTGTATTCCTCTATTGTATTTTGGTTTAATGTTTTTGAAAAACATTTATACCAAAGTCAGTTTAGTGAATTTTAAAAAGAGATGTAACCATCAAGTAAAAAGTAATCACATATATATATATTTTTTTACTTTCTTGAATAAATGTGCGTGTGGGTGCACACATCTATAATAATAATAATAAATCATTTTATTCATCATTTTCAAAAGTTAAAAAAATGTCTCAATGTAATTTTTTTACAAATTAAAAAAAACATTATTGTATAGTTAGTAATTACAAATATAATGTATTTACAGCTATTATAGTTATTCATTTTTTGAGGAGTCAAACCACAATATTTTAAAACATGAGGGTCAAAGACGAAAAAGACGAAAAAGGGTTTAAGCATTAAAAACAATACTGCTTTAAATTGTTATTTTTCCCTAAAGATTTTTTTAAAAATTAAAAAGTTTTCTGTTTAATGTAATTGTATTTTTGTTTTTGTTTTTCTGAGCAAAAAATTAATATCATACATTTTCCCCTGATTTACAGAAGAGAGCCACTAAAATGTCATTCAGTGTAACAATCGTGTCAGGCATCTTTACATCAAAAATCAATTTATGACATATTAAAAGACTAATTACTTTCACCCCAAATACTAATTAGTTGTTATTTTACATTTTTAAAATGTGCCACTATCCTAGTTTTGCCCATTTGTCAGTAAGAATTTTTTACTAATTTAAAACCCAATAAAATTTTATATGCTCACTAATTCTTTTATATATTTTAATATGTACAGGTCAGAATAAGCATGTTGTTTATTGTGTTACACTGAATGACAATGTAACATTATTTCAACCAAATTTTGACATTTTATTCTCCAAAAACTTATTTGAAACCTTAAAAGTAGACACTTTACTTGCATTTAATGTGCTTCCTATGGACATATAATCACTTTAATTTATTTTGATGCGGACATCTTAACGTCTTTGACACATGAGCAAACCTAGCTTTGTCATAAAAATGTCATTACCTTATTTTTATTTTTTTGCATTTTTGTCACACCAAAGACCTAAAGACCTTTTGATTCAATTTTTCAAATACTGATGAGCAGCGAAGCAGCTTTGTTACCTTTTTTCCAGCTATTACTAATTTTTTTTACACTGACATTTCAGCCCAAGCAAACCATATTTTCAGAATTGTTTATGCATTTCCAATGTAAACTATAAATAACTAAATAAAGGTATATAGTCAAACAGAAGCAGTCTTCACGTGTGAGATTTGAGAAACATGTTGTGTTAGTACGCAGCATTAATCGAGGTGGAGTCAGTCATTGCGGTTAGATGTTTTTAGAGGAAACTGTGTTGCCAAACCACTCAAAAACAAGACTTCTGCTTTTGTCATAAAAAATCTACTTAAAGCAGACATGATTTGGCACAACTAACAGACAGTAAGACTTGTATACGTTTAACTGTGATAAAATGTATCACAAAAGAGAATGAGAGTAGAACAGGTTGAGAGGACTAATTTAGTTTTATACAAAATAGGGGGAAAAAATTTAAAAAACAACGTTAGTGTATTGTCAGTGGTTGCCATGAAATTGCTATGCGGTTGCTTGGGTGTTTGTGTGGTTGCTAGGGTCATGCGGAAGAGTCCAACTGTGCAAATGAATCACACGCTGATGTGATGCTTGACCTAGTAAACACAAATAACTTACTTCTGTCTTAATCTCCGTTCAATGAAACAACGGGAAAAGAAACTCCACACCCTCTGAATATGAAGAAGCACATCAGAAGACCTGCTAACATCTTCCTTTTCATGATTTAGAGGTGTGCGATCATTATTATCTATGGTAATATCGTAGCTGACATTATGGAGTAAGTCACTCAAAAAACAAACAGTCAGAGACCATAAGCATTGACTGCCTGACGAAACCTATTAGAATTAAGTTTGAATGTTTCTATAACGCAAGTTATGAAAGCAAAAAACATCTCTGTATGGATTTAGTTTTTTTATATTTATAAGATATGCTACACAAGCAAAAGTGCTGTTTTCCAGAATATCAGCACAATCGCAAAAGTTGTATTGATTTTATACAATTCAGCAAACAAAAAGTTAATGTTGAGTGAGTTACATTTTAGACACAATACTGTGTTATTTTTTTCTTCTTGGCTAATGAAATTCCAAACAAAGCCGGAGCAGAGCATCTGTGCATCTCAGAGCAGCACAGCGGTGAATGATCTGCTTTTGAACAAATCATTGGAGTCAATGATTCAATGATCCATTCATAAAGACAGTCACTTGCTTTGTTTCTAAATGAATCAGCTGGTTTGAATGAATTGTTTGAATGAATGATTCAATGAATCACTCATTAAGGTTTTAATGTCATTTATAAAACGGATAGTTCCGGTCCTTGATTCTGATTGGCTGAGCCACGTTCGAAGCTGTTGTAAATTACTCTACAAACATACACCTTTGTTTACGTTTGTCTGTTGCTTGGCAACCACTTTGTTGCAACCACAACTGTTTCTGAGGAACTACGTTGTTTCGTGGAAGAATATTGTTTTTATTAATATCATTACACTTTATTTGCTCTGTTTTATTTTGTGAAACCTAACTGTGTATATGGATATAACTTTGCTTCGCGTCGTACCTAACAACGTCCCTTAGCTGTTATAAATTCACTGTAAACCACGGCTTCTTGGGGCTTATTGCTTTAATTTATTTATCCATGGCAGACCTTAACCAGGCAAAGTATCAGCAAAACACACTCAGCAAAATATCGTTTAGTTATCATTATCGAAAAAATAGATTTGTCAATATCGCACACTCTGACTAAAAAACACATGGCCAAAAGATGAATGCGGGCAATATTAAGATACATAATGCCATTTGTACAGGAATTTTTTTTTTTAATGAGGTCAGGAAAGAATGGACATATTTTTAAAAAAAATCAAGTATTTGGCCAGCTTTCTGGTTGTTCTCTGATCGTCTTTCATTGGTTGGCCAAACAGACGGGAGAGAGACTGAAGATCTGAACATCACTAGTGTCTGTACAGTACAGCTGACATATATCAAAAACACTCCTAGCCTCATAGAAGCATAACCATAAATAAAGCCTGAAATCCACTTCCATTTCCATTGAGAGGATTACAGCACCTGCTCAAGGAGATCGAGCAGAAGTCAAGCTAAATATCCTGCAGGGCCACCTTAAACCCTCAATAACAGCAGGATCGTGTACTTTCAACCCAGTGTAATGGCTATTTCATCACATCCATAAAAAGAATACACCTCTGTTTACATCTATTGCCAGCACACCTTCATGAAAGCAGCTATCTTTCAGCAGATAAATCTTACTTTTATTGTGTTTTTCCATTTCGTTATTCCAAAAGCCGGTTTTATTAGCAGGTAGGGCTTACACAAGTCAACTAGTCATCAGATTGTGTCAGAATTACCATAATTATGAAATGATAACTCATTCTTGGAAACGATGTGTTATTATGGCAACACTCATAACAATGGATCCATGTGTGGCTTTATGAATGATGACAGCAAAACATGTCATAACTCCACAAACTTTAAATAAAGAAAAGATAAATTGATCAAAATCATCTTTAAAGTTGTCCAAATTAAGTTCTTAGCATTAGAGGTCGACCGATAGTGGATTTTGCCGATACCGATAGCTAGGTTGGACCACACTGGCCGATACCGATTAATTAACCGATAGTTTTAAAATTGATACTGACATGATCTTTACTTAATATCCTAATAAGTTTTGGCATAAAAGAAAAATCTATAATTTTGACCCATACAAAGTATTTATGGCTATTGCTACAAATATACCCCAGCGACTTAAGACTGCTTTTGTGCTGCAGGGTCACAAATAATTACAAAGAAATGGCTAATAATTGAGTCCAACTTGAAATATTTAAGTAAAAAGACTGAAATAGTAATTCTTCTAAAACATACTCCTAAAAAAGAATGTTACAGAAAATGTATGCGTTAAAAAACGTTAAGTAGCATAACTGCACAAAATCTATATTTAAAAAAGCTCTAACTCAAGTAAAGAAATACTGTTGGGTGAGTTTAAAGTTATTAAATGCCTAAAACAACATTAGCTTTAAACAAAAGTTAAGCCTTGGACTTGGGAGTTTTATTATGATGAATAGTGCCACTTTGATAAAACTGAATGACCAAACGAAACCGTTTGTCAAGAATGGCATGACAAACACAAACACTCATGTCTTAAAGTTCAATCAATGGCTTAAATGATTTAAATGAACTGGGTGGCAATTGCAAAGCTACAAATAATGATGGACCGAAACAATGAGGCCTAAACCAGATCCTAATGCTGTGGATCTAATATGCAGAATATGTTGATCTCCACCCACAGCGAAGACGCTCTTATCGTTCTGAGCACTGGTGATTATCCGAGCTCACGCAAACTTCACAAGCACTACATGATCGCCGTCACACACTGCAGCCGTGTGCTTTCACGTGTTCTCCATCAATAATTAACAATCAAAGAGTTACCCAGCATTAACTAACGAGAGAAAACAAGAGGACAAAACACCGTCAGAGAGACAGACAATCCAACTGAACTGCAACCAGCTCCATGAGAAATAAATACATTATACATTTGGAAAATATTTGGGGTGGATATATTTGTAAATATTTGAATTCCTTAATAAATGATGTGATGCATGTGAAATCTGGGCATGATTTGACTGAATTCAATTCAGTTATTTTGTTGATGATTTATGTATTGATTACACAGTTTATAATCTTAATGTGACGCATATGTGTCAGTACAGCAAAGAAATATGTACAATTTCTGTTATAGTAGTAATAAACTGAATGGGTTTTAAATACACAGTAACCAGGTTTATACATTTATCATCAATCCCATGCACTAAAAACTACCTGAATATTGTTTGTTGCAAAGCCGGACATATTTTAGCCATGTTCATGCTTGGATAATTCTCATTATTTTCACATTGAACAGATTATAAGCAATCTGAATAAATGCATTTTGAATATGATTGTTTACATTAAATCAAATAGATGCAAATAGTTAATAATAAACTATGCCTACGTGCAGAAATCTGACCTGTTTGTACTTGTATGACTTACAAATATGCCTCACATTAAGTTTATTAGTTTATCTTAATACTGCGAAGTTCAAAAAGATATGCAATTCAAATATATAAATCTTAAATGTAACTGAATTGAATTGGGTCGAATCATGGCCAGATTTCACATGGAATTCACATATTTGCAAATATTTTCACCCCAATTTGAACTTTATGAATAGGCCTAAATATGTTTTGTGTATTTTTAAAAGACATCAAAACACAAATCAAATGCAATAAATTTTCAAACCGAGTAAACAGGCCACACATTATATCTTGCAATCACTTCTTATGGAATTATTTTGTGGCAGAGCAAAAATAAAAACAAAATATTGTTTAAAATCAGTAAATATTGTGTTTTCAGCATTACACTTTTAATTAAATTTTAAGTGTTTGTGCAAATGTATTTAGAAATGATGGTAATATTCTTGATAACAAATAAATAAACTTTAAAAAAGAGAGATAAATGAGAGTTGCTTACTCTTTCAGAAAATTTCAAACAAAGTCAAAATAAAAAAAATTGTTGATTACAATAATGGGAATGCTCAGAGATGCATGCTAAAATTATATTTTTACAAACTTTATGGTCTCAAAAATTAAGTTATGCAATTTTATTTGTATGGATTTATTTATTTCTTTTTCATTTTGGAGGGAGAAATGACCAGGGCATGTTTTCATGAGATCTGACCCATTACAGTATTACTGTAGCGGTTATTAAGGTTGTACAGTATTTAACCCTTAGTCAGCCTGGGGACCCTGGATGTCACAGGGCATTAGAAACGCCCCCATAGTTCACGACAAAAGGCAAATTCAGCGCTTCGTACAGCAGGGCTCCTCTCCATCTAACCGAAACTGCAGCACATTCCAGCATCTTCCTACACAGTGACTCTGAGTGGCCCCTGAGGGCCCCGGGCTGAACGCATGTGACCTGTCAGGATATCTCAGTGCCATTAACCGCAGTTATCCATCCTAGTATATTTAAACAGCTAGTCAAGATGGTTTCCTTAAGGGTAGCAACACCGGGGGATGCATTACTTCATGTCAAGTCAATGCGTATCTCCAGCACACATGTTAGTACACGAAATACTGAGCTGCATTCATTTAGTCAAGTGTGCACAAGTGCTATCTCTTGATCGGGTCATAAGGTTTTTTATATCTTAAATATATACACTTATATATATAAATGTAAATGAGTTCTAAGACAGAAAAAAATTAATGATAATTTGTTTTGTGTTGTGTGTGTGTTTTAGATTACATTTAGAGCACATCAGAGTCAATAAGAAGACGATTCTTTGTATTTGTATATATTATATGTTTTTGTTATGCATGCTAACTGTCATAACTAATCAGGTAGTAGCCAATTCTTAAAACTTTTTAAAACCCTACTACGCTCAAGGCTTGGCCTATGAATATTAATTACGCAAATGACGTTCACCAAGTGGGCCTCGCTGATTGGCTGGAACACCGCTGCTTGTAAGCGACAGCGAATCTGGAAGAGGCTTGGTTCATGAATATTAATTAAGGTCATTAGTATAGACTATCATTCATGACCTAATCCTTTGCCGTGGTAGAAGTCGTAGTTTCGTTTCGCTGCCTGTCCAACAAGTTTATTAAGATCGGAACTCACCTTATAAACTTTTCCGAAAGCGCCATCGCCCAGTTCCCCGATAATTTCCCAAATGTCGTTTGGATTTACATCCCGATGAACGTGCTCATATTGTTTGGTTTTCTTCTTCACTTCAATCGTAGGAAGTCGGAGGATCTTGCTGAATTTTGCAAAAGCCATTTTAAATAATAGAGACAGCAAATGCTAAAAATACAGATGACGTAGTCGATGAAATTAGTTAACTAATTAACTAGTAAAAAAAAAAAAAAAAAACGCGTGAGCTGAGAACTGTCCAACACTCCACGCAAGTAGACACCTTCATCATTTAAAGAAATAAAATCACATCAAACTGTGACAGACGTATTCCCCTCCATCCACGAGCAAGCGTCCGCTGTCAGAGGCGACTGAAGCACTCGTGTTCACCTGTCGCGAGTGAGAGACTCGGAGCCACGCCCACTGCACGCAGCTGCTCACACATGGGATTTGTAGTTTTTAAAGCCTACACACGCGTCAGAACTACATGAGCTGCAAGCAATTATAATAACAAACCATCGTACTGAATTTTAATGAATCTTAATAGTTGTATTTAATATATATATATATTATTAATCTAGTCGAGACGCACAGAAAAAGTTTAAAAGTAAAAAAACAACAACTGTTGAACACAACCCCCATCTAGTGGTACACTTATTTATTAGAAAACGGAAAACACGTCAATATTACACCAAAAAATGCATATGTTGAGTTTAAAAAATATATATATTTAAAACAATAAACATTTAAAAAGTTAGTAAGTGAGATATTTGATATGCCTGTGAAAAATACACATATTTAAAATCTATTTTATCTAGTAAGGTATTCAAAAATATTCATAAATTCATATATTCTATGTTTTTAAAAGTTTTTTTTTTTAAAGAATTTATTTTTGAAATATTGCTCAGATTTGAAAAATTCTGTACATCAAATCAAAGTCCATTTGGCATAACCAACCAGCATGCGTTGATAAAAATTGAAATCATGAAAAAAAAAATATGAATATAACATATGAGGAGTAATGTGCTCTTCATGATCTTCGTGCAATCATTCTCTAAACTCAGTCCAGTGAAGTCTGAAGTGATTTCAGCCTCTCATCCTCTGTGCTGTACTGCTTCGCAGTTATCACGAGTAAAAACCAAGTCCTGAAACACACAAACAGCCCTTTAATGAAACAGGCACACAATTAAAGCATGCACAATCAAAGCTTTCAACTTGGTTCCTATTGACAGACAATAAATATAAATAACATTAAAAAAAATACAATTACATGCATAGACCTACCCCGTGACATTTCTGTGACATGATGATATAGAGTTGTCTGATCATAGCACGCAGACTCTGCACTTTCCTGGTGTACGCACATCTCCGTTCTCTCAGACCGTCCAGCAGAGACAGATACGAGCTCATAGTGGACATTACACAAGCGTTCTGTCATAGAAAACACGAATGACAATACCAGGCAGTCAACATCTTTTTTAGCAGACAAATAATGAGGTGACCGGAATGTACTCAGCAGTCATAAAATCAATGCCACAATGCAAATAATTGGTCCTAAAAGTATGCATTACCTTTTTTGCCTGAAATTTTAATTTCAAAATTATTTCACACTGCAAGCAAGCTTTGTCTCTTAAATGCTGAATGAATGACTGGCAGGTAGCTACTCACGTGCACGTCGATGTAGAGGTCGGGCAGGTGCGTTGTGCATCTGTGCTGCAACATAAAACACATGACAGTAAAGCATCAGTGTTTTGTTGTTGTGCTCACCTCAGCTCAGTGTGTTGGACTTACAGTGTCGTGGTCTGTTTTGATTCGGGCCGCTCCCTGGGTGATCTCTTTCCCCATGGCCAGTACTTTGGCGTAACAGGTGGGTGGGATGGGGTACGGCTGAGCCCAGAGCTCCGTCACCGTCGCCTCCAGCAGCAGAAGCAGAAGCAGTGTGCGAGCCAGCATGCTGTCTGCTGTCTGTGAAGAGCACTGCTGCATTTATACACCACCGCTCCCTCAAACATCTTGTGCTCATTACAGAAAACGACATGATTTATCAATCAATTAGGCTGGAATTCACATCACAGTCTTCTCAGCCGAGCGTTTTCTGAATATGCACAACATGCAAAACAACATGACAACTGTAAACAATGAAATAAACATGAATCATTTCAATATTTTTCTTTGTATGGTTTCATGCAAAAAAAACCGGCATCTTTTGAGATGTGGTGGAAATTACATGTGTTCATCACAATCCAGGAAATAAATAAATATATTAGTGCTGTCAAACGATTAATCGCGATTAATCGCATCCAGAATAAAAGTTTTTGTTTACATAATATATGTGTGTGTACTGTGTATATTTATTCTGTATATATAAATACACACACATAAAGTATATTTTTTTATGGTAATATATATATATATATATATATATATTCTATTGAAACTTGAAATATTAAAATATATTTATAATAACAAAAATCTAAAATACAATTTAGTACATTACAATATATTAACTTTAAATGTAATATCAAATAATGCATTTCAAGTACTTTGCATGTGCTTTAGTCAACACATCAGAATAAGTGTAAACGATTATTAAATGCATGATTTAAATGTATTTTAAAGTTACAAAGTGCACTTCTAAAAGTGTGTTAGGAAACATGAAGGTGTCGTTTTTATTTATTTATTTGTAAATACACTTTTAAGATTTGAAGTACACATTCAGTAGAATGAAGCATGCTTCTTTTTCACAAGCGTTTTGCAACAAATGTTTTTTTTTTCTTCTAAAAACAAGGACAAAGTTGTCTGCAGCACCTTCTCTTCATTCAGGAGCCATCGAGGGTTAGTGCATGTGAAATTAGTTTATTAAGAAAACAAATGCACTGTATAAACGTCACATACCTGCGGTCTTTATGATGCATTTCATGAGACTCATCACATACAATGAATACAGGCTTGAGAGAATAAGAGCCAATGATGTCCTGGAGAGAAGTATCTACAAACTAGAAAAGACAAACAATGCTGACAAAGCCTTTTTTAGATTTTACAAATCCTTTAAGCTTGAAGGTTATATAGCAATGCATCTGAATATTACTGAAATGCCAAATCTAATCATTCTGGCTTATAATCTCCAGGGAAACACATTTACAAACTCTAAATTAATACAGTATGTGTGTATTAAATAATTATGCAATTAAATAAAACGTGAATGAAGTTGAGTCGTGTGTCGCTAGATGGCAGCAGAACGTCTGCAGCAGATGAATTAACGTGCTCTCCTCCTGAATAAACCACACTTCTGACTTCTCTCCTTTAACAAAGACACCAGCTCATCAGTTTAAGGTGTGCGAGATCAAACGTGTTATATATGTGATCAGGGAGAGGTGACTAGTGTGTTTGTAAATGTCAGATAAGCGCTAAAAGAACCGTGTGTGCATCAGGCATCTAATCTTGTAAAGTAGTCTGCTGTGCCAAGAGTGTAATGGGGATTTGGTTGGATTTTGAGAGATCCTATTGCTCTGACTGCCTAAACAGGATTTCACTTTGGAGACTGATGACCCAGAGCACATTCATTACAGCCTCGTATGTCTAAAGACAAGAAGAAAAAGCATGCTAAGCAAATATCTGAAAAAATTCACATGACCTTGTCCGTCACTTACACAAGTTTGGTCTACAATGAGTGATGTGGTTCTATTCTATTCTGTTCTATTCTATTCTATTGCACAATTTACATTTACATTTAGTCATTTAGCAGACGATTTTATCCAAAGCGACTTACAATTGGGGGATACATAAAGCGATTCTTCTTAAAGAGGCAAACAGACACAGGAAGTGGTTGTAATACCAAGTTCTTAGACATTGTAATCCTCGTTTTGAACGAATCCAATGACTCAAAATGACTCAAAGACATTTGACATTTTAGTTTCTTATTTAGAGTACCATTAGATTAATTCAATTAACTAATCGACACATCATGTAATGTATTAGATTACAAATTTTAATCGACTGACAGCCCTAAATTCAATATATATTATTATATCATATTATATCATAATAACATGACGTTTGAGTCATGAACAGTAGCCTAGTGAAATTTGATGACCGAAACTAAACTTGGCCTGTCATAAAAGGTCAAATAATCTAATAATTTTAAGAGACCACGTACTTTATATATATATATATATATATATATAACATGACAATATATACAACGTTCTCTTGTATTTTTTATGTATTTTCTCACATGATTTTTTGCAAATTGGTTACACGACATTGACGAACGTGTTGTTGTTGTTTTCTTCTTCTTTTACACGTGCATTATATAAACATTGTAAATTATGCCACTGTTTAAAATGCATTTAAAAAAAATAATTCTTGAATAAATTAGTAAAAGCCTCTGGGGAGACCAGCGCACTAACATTGCGTACAAACAGTAACTAGTCTACTTGAACCACATTATGCATAAAAAAAAACACAGTATGCATGAATAAATGAACCTCCCCAGCAGTGGGACACTTTCACCATCATCATCACCATCATCATCATCATTATCACAAGCGATGCGATGCAGATCAGATCCGTACCCAGACGCGTAACGACGCACTTATTCAACAGTTGAGGACGTGAGCTCTGTAGATGTGTGCGCTGTGATGCAGGCGTGAAGCAGCACTAATGTGTGTGTTCTGCATCAGTGTGTCATTGACTCCGGCTCTGCAAGGATCTTCTCACAGCATTGCGGCGAGTGGAGAACTTGTGCGGGACAGTCTCACCTTTACACTGCAGTCTCGCCTGTCACCATCGCTTTGATTCGTCAGGACGATCATTTCAACCATCCTGCTGTATAAAGCGGTAAGTGTGCGATTTCCGATGATTTCATTATGCACGAGTTCAGCTACAAGTCTATACAACTCTCTACTGTATGTGGACTTTACATTACACTCTTTATGCTACTATAAACAATTACCAATGAACAACATGTTTATAACGAAGTATGACTTGCACACTGTCCTATTTACTAGTATACTATTTAAAGTATTTTAATAGGGGCAAGTTGTCACACTTTTTATGAAGTGAATATTTTGTCACACTTTATTTAAGGACAAATTCTCATTATTAACTAGCATGCATATTACTAGCATATTGGCTGTTTATTAGTACTTATAAATCACATATTAATTTTGTATTCTGCATGATCATATTTTAGATCCTTTAATCCACCCCATACCTAAACTTAATAACTAACTATTAATAGGCAGCAAATTAGGGGATTATTGAGATCATAGTTAATAGTGAGAATTGGACCTTAAAATAAAGTGTGACCGTGTATACTTATCGAGGGAGGATTACACTCACTCTTCACTCTGTCCCTGTCACAGGCCATTCTTCAACAGAGGCATATATCCTTATTAACAAACACAGAAGATGTTTCTATGTTAACCTCTTCAGAAGTCATGGGACTCGGTCAGTCCAGCAGGACATCGGTCAGTGATGACCCAGATGAGGGTAAGTGTGCTCTTGAAAAGAAAACAAGCTGTTCCAGTTCCTATAGTTGGACAGAGGACCCACATTCATAACACACTAAAACATGAACTACTATATGATCTCATTTTTCTTTTGATTTCTTCACCCAGACTTATAACTGTTAGGATGCTTTATTTAAACATAGGTGGATAGTTTATTTAAAGATAAAGTGTGTGATTTGAATGTTAAAAGACTGAACCCGTTCTTATCAGAACATTTACTTATTTGAGCATCCCAATAGCATGAGTTTGGGGCAGGAGTATCCATTTGAGCAACCAATGGCAGAAATGTTGAGGGAAGACAAAATATGCCAAAAATGAAATTCTGTCATCATTTACTTCCTCTCTGTTGTTCAAAATGTCTTGACTTCCATGGTGCACAAATTAAGAAACTCAGCAGATTGTATGCTCTTACAGTGAAAGGATACAGTAACCAGGGACAATCAACCTATAAAAAGGACAAAAAACTTATTTAACATTTTTTTTTTATATCATAATGAAGAGATAATCCATGGCTAGATGTGTATTAAATGATTTTAAATCCAAGCAGTGTCTAAAATGTATTTATGCGCTATGGCTTAATAATCCTGACAAAACAATCAATGACAATTTTTTGTTTTAAGAATACTGTATATGAGATTGCTCACTTTCAAACTGGATTTTTCCAAAGTGAACCCATATAAGAGGATCCGTAGCTGTTGACTTCAGAAAGTCATTCACTGAGGTTCTTATAAATCTGTCTGCGTGTCCAAAAATTTACACCCCAGATTCCAATACAATTGTGTGTGTGTGAGAGAGTGTGTGTGTGTGTGTGTGCGCGTGTGTGTGTGTGTGTGTGTGAGTCAAAGAAAGAGATGGGCCATCACAAGTACAGTTATAGCAATAGCTGATTGGCCCATTTTACAAAGTAACCGTGTATATGGTTGTACAACAGAGTGCACAGTGACTCAATAAAGCAAACTACTGTTAAACTAGATTTTTACATATCCTGAAGAAAATGGGAGTGATGCTAGTATATGGGAAAATCACCTTCACAATGTAGGGGTGTTGTGTATTTGTCAATCCGATACAAAATTATAGCTTTTAGCCAAAATAAAACAAAAATGCATTAAACCAAATACAAATATGTTTGAACAGCCAAAACAAAAAAAAAACAAAAAAATGCATTAAACAAATCCAAAACGTCTGAAAAGTTAAAACAAAACAAACAAAAAATAAAAATGCATGAAACCAAATCCAAAACATGTCTGAACAGCCAAAGCAAACAAACAAAAAACAAAACAAAATGCATTAAACAAATCCAAAACATGTCTGAAAAGTAAAAACAAAAACAAACAAAAGACAAAAATGCATGACACCAAATCCAATATGTAAAAATCCAATTAAAATCTGATATAATCAAGTAGTTGTTTAATGCACGAGTAGTTTGATGTGACACACAGAAATATAATAAACAAAATACTTGATAATACAAAATATTAGATTAAATAATGTTGGCAACAGAACATTGTCCAACAGCGACAAGAGTGAATAATGTTTCAGAGGATCAGATGGTTCGGACTAATAAACAGCACAGCCACCCAGACATGATCCATTTTGTCAAGTAAAATGAATAAAGTGATATTAAACAGAAATTGAGTTCATTTACACATCACTTTGATCATCATAACACCTCTGGTTTTATGAAGGATTTTATCACTTATAGTCTTATTATATTCTTTTGCTCATTTTCATCGTGGAGCTTAGAATAATATTACATGTTTAAACTCTAATGGGATCTGTTTTATTGTTTGCCATGTGAAAATATGCAAGTCAGATTGCTTAGAAAAGTCATTGCACAAGACGCATGACTTCAGTTATAATTTTTGTCCTTACCTAGCAAAACTAAAAATAAACAGTATTGACGAAGAGAAAAACCTTACCTACACTTCTGCACACGTGTGGGTTTATGAAGGTCTTGAAATTTGAGGGAGAGCATGCTCAACTTTTTATTAAGAGTTTGAGATCAATATTTACATTTTTGTAGCCTTCATTTTTTGGTAATTGTTATTGACTTTGTGGTAGGAGTTTGTTGTTAGAGATGGGGGCATTTACTATTTAGCATACGCTTATGACCCCTCTGGAAGTCACTGTGAAAAAGGTGTCAGCGTTCTCTAAGTGGCTGTCCTAGATCGTTTGCACACACTCGATAGGTCACCAATTCTTCAGATATGGAACAAAATATGTCACTCAAATGTACCTTAAGTTTTTAAAATAGCACTGCATTTAAATAGCACAGTGTTTGCGAACTGAAGTTTATCAGTACAGAGTTTTTTTCATTTGATTTTATCTTTATTTTATGAAGCCTGTGACATTTTCACTCACAAAATAAC